TGTTTTTCCATGTCCAGTTCTAACTGGCTTCTTGACCAGCATACAGATTTCTCAGGAGGCAGGTCAGGTGGTCTGGTATTCTCATCTCTTGAAGAATTTTCCAGTTTGTTGTGATCCACACAAAGGCTTTGGCATAGTCAATAAAGCAGAAGTAGATGTTTTTCTGGAACTCTCTTGCTTTTTTGGTGATCCAACATATGTTGGCAGTTTGGTTCCTCTGCCTTTTCTAAATCCAGCTTGAACATCTCGAAGTTCACGGTTCATGTACTGTTAAAGCCTGGCTTGGAAAATTTTGAGCATTACTTTGCTAGCATGCGAGATGAGGGCTGTTGTGCGGTAGTTTGAGCGTTCTTTGGCATTGGCTTTCTTTGAGATTGGAATGAAAGCTGACCTTTTCCAGTCCCGTGGCCACTGCTGAGTTTTCCAAATTTGCTGGCATATTGAGTGCAGCACTTTCACAGCAGCATTTTTAAGGATTTGAAATAGCTCAACTGGAATTCCATCACTTCTACTAGCTTTGTTCATAGTGATGCTTCCTAAGGCCCACTTGCCTTCTCATTCCAGGATGTCTGGCTCTAGGTGAGTGATCACACCATCGTGGTTACCTGGGTCACAAGGATCTTTTTTGTATAGTTCTTCTGTGTATTCTTACACCTCTTCTTAACATCTTCTGCTTCTGTTAGGTCCATACCATTTCTGTCCTTTATTGAGCCCATCTTTGCATGAAATGTTCCCTTGGTAGCTCTTATTTTCTTGAAGAGATCTCTAGTCTTTCCCATTCTGTCATTTTCCTCTATTTCTTTGCATTGATCACTTTAAAAGCTTTTCTTATCTCTCCTTGCTATTCTTTGGAACTCTGCATTCAAATGGGTATGTCTTTCCTTTTCTTCTTTGCTTTTTGCTTCCCTTCTTTTCTCAGCTATTTATAAGGCCTCCTCAGACAACCATTTTGCCTTCTTGCATTTCTTTCTTGGGGATGGTCTTGATCACTGCCTCCTCTACAATGTCACCACGAACCTCTGTCCATAGTTGTTCAGGCACTCTATCAGATCTAATCCCTTGAATCTATTTCTCACTTCCACTGTATAATCATAAGGGATTTGATTTAGGTCATACCTGAATGGTATAGTGGTTTTCCCTACTGTCTTCAATTTAAGTCTGAATTTGGCAATAAGGAGTTCATGATCTGAGTCACAGTCAGCTCCCAGTCTTGTTTTTTTGCTGACTGTATAGAGCTTCTCCATCTTTGGCTGCAAAGAATATAATCAATCTGATTTCGGTATTGACCATCTGGTGATGTCCATGTGTAGAGTCTTCTCTTGTGCTGTTGGAAGAGGGTATTTGCTATGACCAGTGCGTTCTCTTGGCAAAACTCTGTTAGCCTTTGACCTGTTTCATTTTGTACTCCAAGGCCAAATTTGCCTGTTACTCCAGGTGTTTCTTGACTTCCTACTTTTGCATTCCAGTCCCCTATAATGAAAAGGACATCTTTTTTGGGTGTTAGTTATAGAAGGTCTTGTAGGTTTTCATAGAACCGTTCAACTTCAGCTTCTTCAGCATTCCTGGCCGGGGGTATTGTCACCCTGCTTATTTAACTTATATGCAGAGTACATCATGAGAAATGCTGGGCTGGATGAAGCACAAACTGGAAGCAAGACTGCAGAAGAAATATCAACAACCTCAGATATACAGATGATACCACTCTAATTGCAGAAATTGAAGAGGAACTCAAAGAGACTCTTGATAAGGGTGAAAGAACAGAATGAAAAAGCTGGCTTAAAACTCAATATTCAAAAAACTAAGATCATGACATCCAGTCCCATCATTTCATGGCAAATAGATGGGGAAACAGTAGAAACAGTGACAGACTTTCTTTTTCTTGGGCTTCAAAATCACTGCAGATGATGACTGCACCCATGGAATTAGAAGACACTTGCTTTTTTTTCCATTTATTTTTATTAGTTGGAGGCTAATTACTTTACATCATTGCAGTGGTTTTTGTCATACATTGAAATGAATTAGCCATGGATTTACATGTATTCCCCATCCCACACTTGCTTCTTGGAAGGAAAGTTATGACAAATCTGGACAGCATATTAAAAAGCAGAGACATCACTTTGCTGACAAAGTTCCATATAGTCTAAGCTATGTTTTTCCAATGGTCATGTACAGGTGTGAGAGTTGGACCATGAAGAAGACTGAGCACTGAAGAATTTATGGTTTTGAATTGTGGTGCTGGAGAAGACTCTTGAGAGTCCCTTGGAATTCAAGGAGATCAAACCAGTCAATCCTAAACAAAATCAACCCTGAATACTCATTGGAAGGACTAACGCTGAAGCTGAAGCTCCAGTACTTTGGCCATCTGATGCAAAGAGCCAACTCTGGAAAAGATCCTGATGCTGGGAAAGATTGAAGGCAAAAGGAAAAGGGGACGACAGGGTGAGATGGTTAGATAGCATCCCTGACTCAATGGACATGAATCTGAGCACACTTCAGGCATTAATGAAGGACAGGGGAGCCTTGAATGCTGCAGTCTGAGGGTTGCAAAGAATCATACATGACTTAGCGACTAAATAACACCACCACCAATGACAGGATACCTCTTACCTGAGCATTGGATACATGTGTTCTTTTTAAATTTTTATTTATTTATTTACTTGTCTGTTACTTATTTTTTTATTGGAGTATAACTGCTTTACAATATTGCGTTACACTCTGCTGTACAACAACATGAATCAGCTATATGTATACATATATCCCCTCTCTCCCCCACCCCATCCCATTCCTCTAAGTCATCACAGAGCACCAGACTGGGCTCCCTGTGTTTAACAGCAGCTTCCCACTAACTATCTGTTTTACCCATGATAGCATATATATGTCAATGCTACTTTCTCTATTCGTCCCACCCTCTTCTTCCCCTTCTGTGTCCATAGTCTATTCTTTATGTCTGCATCTTTATTCCTGCCCTGCAAATAGGTTCATTAGTACCACTTTCTAAATGTCATATATATGTGTTAATATACAATAATTTTCTCTTTCTGACTTCACTCTGTATGACATACTGGAGATTCATCCACATAAGTACAAATAACCCAGTTTCGTCCCTTTTTATGGCTCAGTAATATTCCATTGTATATATGTACCACATCTTCTTTATCTAGTCATCTGTTGATAGCAACATTTAGGTTGCTTCCATGTCTTGGCTATTGTAAATAGTGCTGCAATGAATACTGGGGTACATGTGTCTTTTTGTTTGCTTTTTGTTTTTATTTTTTGGGTTTTTTAAAATTATTTTTTACATGTGTCTTTTTGAATTATAGTTTCCTGAAGGTATATGCCCAATAGTGGGATTGCTGGATCATATGGTAGTTTCATTTTTAAAGGAACCTCTTTACTCTTCTCCACAGTGGTTTTATCAATTTACATTTTCACTAACAGTGCAAGAGGGTTCCCTTTTCTCCATACCCTCTCCAGCATTTATTGTTTATAGATATTTTTATGATGGCCATTCTGACTGGTGTGAGGTGGTATCTCATTGTAGTTTTGGCTTATATTTCTCTAGTAACAAGCAATGTTGAGCCTCTTTTCATGTGTTTGTTGGCCATCTCTATGTCTTCTTTGGCAGGTGTTCTTTTTATTGTTACTCCTTAATTTCACTCCTAGGTATATACTCTTGAGAAATTCTTGCCCTTGCAGAAGACATTTTATATACTCTTTTATATATATGATACCTTTTCCAGCTTATAAAGTTATTTATTCTATGCAAAAAGAATAAGTTGGATATGTATGCAGTACTAACACGGGGAAAACATCCAATGCATCTTAAGTATCAACCATGTTATAGAACTCAATAAATCTGAACAATATATATTAAAATGTGAGCCCTAGTTATCTCTGGGATGGCTTCCATTTCAAAATTATACATTTCTAGAGTGTTCCAATATTTTGCAGTCATCTCATTGACTTCTGTGGTTAAAAAAAATTAAGTCTATTTTTATACACGCAGAAACACTTTAAAATAGAGGAATACTTATTCTGAAAAGAGGGACATTTTTCCCTTTTGCAAACTGAGAAGAGTTCCCTGACTACCCCCTGATTGTATAAAAGAGAATCCATGAGGATAGAAGTTTCAAAATGAGAAGGGCTCCTAGACTTAGGTTCCTTTAATGGAGTAAAGAGTGAATGGGGCCTGGTCAGTCCCTCTGACTTACTAGACTTTCCTAACCACAAAAAGCAAGCCTGCTTGTTCCCTGCCACTCTCCACCCCCAGCTCCGGAGGGTGACTGAGGTCTTGGCCAGTAGCCTTCCAGTCCTGCCCCAGTGTTCCAGGTTCCCAGCTGACTGAGCATCTGGCAGTTAAGCCAAAGGCCAGTAATTTCCTGACTTCCTGAGTAAATACCTGTGAACAGAGAGAAGACATAGTGGGGTCAAAGCAAGTGCTCAGGGACACAAGTAAGACAACGAATAGAGCCAAGCAGTAGTGACAGGGAGTAAGGGGAGCTCAGGAGATCTTGTTCTGGGCTAGCCCGTGATTTGCCCTGTCTCCCTCTAGCCCCCAGAAATTTCCACTGCAGCCGATGGGGACTCAGGCTCTTGGACTTGGGGAACCATGGAGAGGACAAACCCCAAAGAGTTCATTTTATCACAGGGGAAATCTTCCAGGCTTTTGCACGTCCTGCACCCTTTGCCTAGAACGTTTTCCCTCCATCTTATCCTGACTAACTTCTGTTTGTTCTTCAGATTTCAAATTATGGACCACTTCCTCTTGGAAGCCCTACCCGACTCCCACCACTTCACCACCTTCCTTGGAGGCCTCTCTGCTGCCGCAGACTCTCCTTCCCTGAGCCAGCACTAGCCCACTCAAACAGTTGCCAGTGTGTCTTTCCCACAGGAATTTTAACTTCCTGAGGTCAGGAACCGTGACTATTATACCACTAGTACCTGGACACTCCAGAAGTGCTAAGAAAATATTTTGAGAAATGGATGAATAAAATAAAAGAATGGCAGAGAGGGCAAGTGACAAAGAACCCTCCCCCCCACCCCCACTGGTCTGTAGTGTGGTTCTTGGCAGCCTCTGGAAGAAGCCTCCAAGGCTCAGCACACAAGCAAGCTGCAGGGAGCTTTATCCTCTCTTTCTCTCCTCCCATTCCTTTCCATTCTTTTATCTTCGCACCCTTCCCTTCCCCAGTTCCCGTCCCTGCCAGGTTGATGTGAGCTTGAGCTCCCTCTACTGGCTAGACTTCAGTGCCACAGGGAGCCATGCCAAAGGTACCCTCACTTGTTTCCAGCTTTCCTCTTGAGAGATTCTTCTACCCACTCCCCAACTCTGGGGTTCATGAAGGACTGGAGCATGTAGAGAAAACAGCCGTTCAGCATACAGATGAGCTTTCCACCACCGGAGCCCCCACCACCCCACCCTCGACACTGGGTCTATTTCCCTCACACCCTTACCTCAGTTTCCTGGGTCTCAACTCCATACTCCTACTCCAGCTAATTCACAGAGATGTTGATTTCCGGAGCCTTTGGCTGATACATCAGCTCTGACTGTGGAACAAAGATCTCAAGATGAGCTGGGAATAAAAAGACAAAAGACTGAGAGAGAGAGCAGAGAGAAAAGGACCAGAGAGTGAAAGGATATAAACCCACCTTAAGACAAAGATCCTGGGTAAGACAATCCACTTAAGAGTTTTGTCCCTGACCATTTCCAGCCCTCATACAGCCCTGGACTCATATGAAGAAAAACTTCCCTCACTCCTTCACTGTGCCTATGTTAATACAGAGCTAGGGGGAGTCACTGTGTTGATCAGATCTTCAGACTTAATAGAGATATTATACTTCAGTTACAACTCCTGGAGATGACTTCTCTCCCCCACCCTTGCCCTGTTCTCCTGGAGCTCACATCTTCACTGTCACTTCCACTGAACGAGTACTCTGGCTCCATGCCCTTCTCAGGGATGTTCCTCTCCTTCTCCAGCATCGGCTCATCCAGCCAGAGGAGTTCCTGTGGTGAGAAGACCCACTCGAGTGCCTTTCGGACCCCCACCAGGCCCAGCAACTGCAGGGATAGAGACAAAGCCAAGGGACGTCAGCAATAGCAGCAGGAACATTAACAACAGCCACATTTATCGAGCACTTCCCATGTGCAAAGCATTGTGTATAGTTTCAGTGAATGCTAACACATTCATATGAGGTAGACATGACAATTATTTCCATTGTACAGAGGAGGAAACTGAGACCCTGGGAGCTTGCTAACTTCTCAGAGGTCACAGAATTGAGATGTAGTAACCAGATTGGTTCCAAAGCAAAGCCCATGACTCTTAACTTCCTCAGTGGGTAAGAACAAATCCAGAATCTTACAGTATCACCTAACTGTGTAAAAGAGTGCCAGCCTAACAAACACATGAAAAGATGCTCAACATCACTCATTATCAGAGAAATGCAAATCAAAACCACAATGAGGTACCATTACACACCAGTCAGGATGGCTGCTATCCAAAAGTCTACAAGCAATAAATGCTGGAGAGGGTGTGGAGAAAAGGGAACCCGCTTACACTGTTGGTGGGAATGCAAATTAGTACAGCCACTATGGAAAACAGTGTGGAGATTTCTTAAAAAGCTGGAAATAGAACTGCCATATGACCCAGCAATCCCACTTCTGGGCATACACACCGAGGAAACCAGATCTGAAAGAGACACGTGCACCCCAATGTTCATCGCAGCACTGTTTATAATAGCCAGGACATGGAAGCAACCTAGATGCCCATCAGCAGACGAATGGATGAGGAAGCTGTGGTACATATACACCATGGAATATTACTCAGCCATTAAAAAGAATTCATTTGAATCAGTTCTAATGAGATGGATGAAACTGGAGCCCATTATACAGAGCGAAGTAAGCCAGAAAGATAAAGACCATTACAGTATACTAACACATATATATGGAATTTAGAAAGATGGTAACGATAACCCTATGTGCAAAACAGAAAAAGAGCCTCAGATGTATAGAACAGACTTGTGGACTCTGGGAGAAGGCGAGGGTGGGATGTTTCAAGAGAACAGCATCGAAACACGTATATTATCTAGGGTGAAACAGATCACCAGCCCAGGTTGGGTGCATGAGACAAGTGCTAGGGCCTGGTGCACTGGGAAGACCCAGAGGGATTGGGTGGAGAGGGAGGTGGGAGGGGGGACCGGGATGGGGAATACATGTAAATCCATGGCTAATTCATTTCAATGTATGACAAAAACCACTACAATGATGTAAAGTAATTAGCCTCCAACTAATAAAAATAAATGAAAAAAAAAAAAAAAGAATAGAAAAAAAAAAAAAAAGAGTGCCAGCCTTGCCTCTCCCAGGTCCTCAGTTTCCTTCTGGGCCTTCTATCCCTACCTATGGTTGATCAGCCCGAAGAAGTTGGGAAAGAAATTGAACCAGATAGCCCAGGTCCAGAGCCTCACAGTCATCCCTTGGCCATCTTTCCTTGTCCTAAGATTCCCAACCAGGTAGAGCCAGGACAAGTGACAGAGGAGAGATTCTTCCTCTTGTGAGGCCTTGACCACCCTCCCAGGCTCAGAGAGCCACCAGGACACCACCCAACCCTGCCGCAAGTCACCATGATGGGGAAGATGATAGCTGCAGGGGTAGACTTGATTATCCAAAGCAGACCCAGGCAGGCAAGCTGGATGGCTGTGAACAGGTGGACCCTGCTCAGGGGCACATGCCGTAAGAACAGAAGGTCTGGCTGGTGCTTCGCTGGTATCAATAATAGCTGCACCCTCTTCGTGAACTGGGGGAACAAGGGGAGGAAAACAGGGTATTCAGGTAGTCTGGAGGGCGTCACTGTTAGCTATCCAAGCCTAGCTTGGAGGTCAGAAGGCTCCCTTGGTCCCCTCTCCACCCAGAGTGTGCCAGCAGAGGCTCTGTGCCCAGGAGAGGCAGGAAAAGAGGAGGAGAACTAGCAAATGCAGGTAGGAAGTAATGGGCTCACCTGGATGCTGCTAATTGCTGTCACCCCCATGTACAGGAAGATGCCATAGAGCAGAGGCATTGGGATGAACTGGTAGAGAGAATTGGAGAGCTGGCAAAGCAGTTCGCCTCTGCCAGCTGCCCAGATAACCGCATTTAGGCCCCAAGGCCAGCCTCCAGCCTCCAAGATCTAAACATACCCACTGTGCATGCCTGATTTCACTGAATCTTCACATCAGTCAGATGAGGTAAATTCTATAATTGTCTCCATTTTGCAGATGGAGAAGTTGAATTTCAGAGAGGCTAAGTAACTTGCCCATTGCCTCTCCACTCTTCGCTCTCACATTCCTCTCTGTTCTCTCTGTTCCTGTTGTACTGGCCCCTTTTCCTTTCCTCAAGATGCCCAAGTTTACTTCTACCCCTTGTAAGGCCTTTTGCTGTGTTATTCCCTCAACCTAAATGCTCTTCCCTGACCTCCCTCTCATTACTCCTGTTGTGACACCTCAGAAAGGCCTTCCCTGCCCAGCACCATTAAAGTGCTCCTGATCACCCCACCCTCTTTTATTTTTCATAGAAGTTATCACTATCTGAAATTATCCTATTTTATTGTTTTCATTGTTTTTATCTTTCTCCTCTCACCAGAATGCAAGATGTGGATGATCTCCTTTGATCACCACTATATCCGCAGTCCCTGGAACAGTGCTTGGCATATGGTTTACGCTCGGTAAATATCTGCTGAGCGGGAGTCACCTAGTTTAGTCAGCGGCCGATCCAGCCCATCGGGCTCTTTCAAGTACTCTGCTCTTACCGAGCTTGCATGACCTTTCCCTCCCCTAACCTCCTGTCGTCCTGCCAGTGGCTCTGTGTGCAATTCTCCACACCCTCCTTGACTGCTCTGCTGTACTGGCTTGTTGAACCTTTCTGCTGTTACTTGTTACGTAATTTTTATTCATGTGTATGTGTTGCTGACAGGGGCTTGGTTCCATATTTTTTTTCAGTATCCTTCCCCTTCCCATCTCCTTCTCCCAGGTGAGGGAGATGTGAAGGGGTTTTGCCTCAAAAGTTTTACTGGGTTGTGATGATCATGTTCTTAGTCTAAGCCTCACTGAGTGTGGAGTAAGAGTAGCTAGTGCTTGGCCCCTGGGGATGATGGCATGTCTCTGCTCCACTGGATAGAAAGCCAGTTGGGTCAGAGTACAGGTTCTCAGATAGATCTGAGAAACCAGCTCTCTTGGTGGTCTCTTGTAAGTTCCTTAACCTCTTTAACTTTCAGTTTCCTCACTTTATTTTATTTATTTTTAAATTTTTTGTGTGGTTTTTTTTGTGTGTGTTTTTTTGTTTGTTTGTTTGTTTTTTAGTTTCCTCACTTAAAAATGCATATGCTTCTCATGGGTAATGTCAGGATTAAATGAGACTATGGGTTAAGAAAACTTAACACAGTGCCAGTACGTAGTAAATGTTCAGCCAATGTCAATTCTTGCTGTATTTATTATTTTTACTGCCCTGCCCCTGATGCTGGCTTGTCTAAGGTACCTTGAGTATAGGTGCCAGGAAGATGGAGATTCCTGTGAGGATGAATACTGCCAGGCCCGACAGCCTCTGCTCTCTGTGGGGAAAGGAGGAGTTAGCTTTGGGGGAGCCCCTGGGGTGCCAGGTTGGGGGCCCTGGCAGGAGGGAAATGGAGGGATCCCCTGATAGTTCCCTGGAAGGGAGGGGACCTGAGCTTGGTGTGAAAAATTGGTGGAGAAGAAGGGACAGGGCATCTCCATACGAGGGTCCCAGTCCTTTTCAGTAGCTCAAATTCAAAGTTGCTCTTTGTTTTTATTTTGATGGAAAATTAAGCAATCTTATACTACCATAAAAACTTTTACTTCATAATGTACAAAGTTGATTTCCCATACTTTCAACAATTAGATTGCATTTCCAATAAAATTGTTTTTGTGATGTTACTCTATAAATCAATGAGGTGCTTCTACACTGAGTGGGATTCTTAGGTGGCACCTCATCCTTGCTCAGCCTTCACACTCACTTCCATGATGCTCCCCTGGAGGCCCCTCCCAGTCCCACGGCTGAAGGAGACCAGCACCCACCCATTCACCCCACTGCAGTGCTCATGGGGCAGTGAGAGAGCCCTCTGGAGTCACCCGCTTAGAATTCAAGTTGCCCAAATAACTCTGCCCTGTACCCAGTACCCGACCTTGCTGCCCACGTCTCATTCCAGTCTCCTGAATACAGGCCTTACCTGATGCCCAGGAAACTGGGAGCCTCCCCTGGGGCACAGGCTCTGCTCTCTCTCCGAAGACTGTCCATGTGGGCTAGGGAGATGACAGTGGC